CTAGCTGTGCTAGCTTCTCTACATGTCTATTCAATATATACTCTGCTTTATTATACATACACAAAGTTGTTGAACCCGTGCTTAGTTTATGTGTAGTTTGCTTGCTCGTAGTGTGTTATTTGTATATTATATACCTGCCACGCCCCGTACCCTTGACGCCTCTTGTTGTTAGTGTGCACACAGTTTGTTATAATATGCATATTCCTTCTTCCACAATCCATGTAAAAAAAAAAACCAAAAAAACAAAACCTCTCCCAGACGCCGATGGCTGTGAGCAGTGCACCAAGGTCTTGGAGGAACTGGAGAATATAGACGATGACTGCGACAAACATGGCATAACTTTTGTCAAAACTCGCGATTTCTCTGTGGCGGATGGCTACGGAGTGCACGAGTATCCGGCGCTGGTATACTTCGAAGGTGGCATACCCAATGTGTTTGAGGGTAAGGCTAGAACGAATCCATTTCAACTAAATCTAATCTGATAACTGGCCCCAGGTGAGCTCAGCGAGGAGGAGGAAGTACTGCAATGGCTTATTACGCAAAAAACCGAAGATCGCATTGAGCTCATAACGCGTCAAATGCTGGAAACAATGGTAGAGGAAACACAATATTTAGCCGTCTATTTCTGTAAGTATTGACCATAGATACGAAATGCATTTAACAAAATCCTGTCATAATCTCATAATAATATCAATTATATACCCTGGCACTGCACAACACCGCTGCACCACTGCACCACAACACAAAAAACACCACAACCAATCCAAATATTCCATGTGCACACACATATATACATATATATATCCATATATGTGTGTGTATATTCCAAATAAATATCCGTAACGCCGCAGTGCCGACTGAGCGCAAGGGCAAGCCACCCGCTTACTGTCGAAGTTTCTGCTCACCCTCTAGTCTTAAAGAAAGCAACCTGACCACCACCACCAAACACTCATCCAGTCAATTCGTACAAAGCTACATTTCGCGCAAAAGAAAACGTATCCAAAAACAAGGTATTCCGTATTCAAATCGTGCAAAAGCCCAAAAAAACTGAAATTAAAATAAAAAATAAATAAAATAAAATCAAGCGCATGTTCTGCTAACCAAGATAAACAATTCTAAAAAATTCTAAAAAAATCTAAAAAAAATTCTAAATATTAAAAAATAAAACTCTGTTCTCTTCTACAACTCTTATACTAAAAATTAAGTCTACTAAATGTATTATCGACCAAACTAAATGCCCCCTGTATTTTGTACTTTTTATCTAAAACAAAATTAAAATTCAAATGAAAATTAATTCAATTAAATTTAGTTTAAACTCAAAATAAATTTAGTTTGGGCGTGAATACCTTTTCTTTTTGGCGTTTTCTCTTTATTCACTAGCTGCGTTGCCTCTATATAACTTATCTAACTTATCTACCACACAGCGAACGCTTCACATTCTTATAAAAATTAAATGCACAAATCATAAATATTTTAAATATTATTTTAATATTGAATGTGTCCATTTCTCTTGCCAGACAAAATCAATTGTAATATCTGTGATCAGATATTGGAGGGTCTGGAGCTAATCGATGATGAATGCGATGTCTTTGGCATACATATGGTTAAGATACAGGATCCACAATTGGCCAAGAGATATTCCATTAAGACTTTCCCAGCCTTAGTGTACTTCCGGTGAGCAGAAGATCTAATCTAATTATATATCTTATTATTATTAATTATATATCTAATTAAAATACTCGATATATCTTTTAGCAACGGCAATCCTTTGCTCTTTGAGGGCGATCTACAGAATGAACAATCTGTGCTGGAATGGCTAATAGACGATGATAATCGCGAATTGGCCGATGAAATTGAGGAGGTGAATGAACGCATGTTGGATCGTCTCATGGCTGAGTCCACTTTGCTTGTTGTGTTCTTTTGTAAGTCGAATCGAATGTGATTCAAATTTGCATAAGAGCTCAAAGTGTTGCCTTCCAGATGATGATGATTGTGCTGAGTGTGAGGAAATCCTGGAGGAACTGGAAGAAATTGATGGCGAGGCAGACATGTTTGGCATTGACTTTGTGAAAATCGCCAGCGTCGAGGCGGCCAAGAAATACGAAATTGTCAATATACCCTCGCTGGTGTATTTCCGGTGAGTAGCGAACTCAACTCCAAGAGAAGTCTTTATAAACTTGCTTAAATTTTGAACTGCAGCAAGCAAGTGCCTGTTCTATATGACGGCGATATGCATCAGCATGATAAGGTTATTACCTGGCTGACATCCCAAGATGTATTCGAAATTAAAAACGAAATTGAAGAGGTCAATCGCAAAATGCTCGACAAACTGCTCGAGGAAAATGAGTTTCTATCTGTGTTCTTCTGTAAGTATGAAATATAATTGTAAACATGAAAAATATATAATTATTTTATAAACTATTTCAGATGAGCACAATCAGCCGGACAGCGTGGCTACGCTGGAGAAGCTGGAGAACATTGATAGCGAAACGGATAATCTGGATATAACTTTCGTGAAAATGGCCGATTCGCGCTATGCCAAAAAATGGGGTGTTACCAAACTGCCAGCCATGGTCTACTTCCGGCGTCGTTTTCCCAGCATATATAGAGGTAGGTCTGGGCTGAAATAACTCACTTAGTAATTGAAATTAAGGCAGCTAAATTATGTTTTCTTCTCTTCTCATTTCGCAGGTGATTTGCTCTCGGAGGATGAGGTGCTCGAATGGCTGCGCAAGAATCGCTTCCGTCAGCCAGAGCTGAACATCTTCATGTATGCTCTGATAGCTCTGGCGGTGGCATTTGTTGTCTACACCGCGTTTCTGCTGCAGTGTTTCAAGCCGGCACCGCCGCCGCCCGTGCAGCATCCGAAGCAGTCGTGATGAGGTTTAACCTAGTGAAATTCAACTGTAGCTCAACTGCAACTAGAGAATTGTTGAAGGTAATGGCCGCTGCGACAAGGGCGTGCCAGAGATACGTAGAGGAGCGAGAGTACGAGAGCAAATGAAAAAAACCTAAATAAACGAAACGAACACACACACGCACACACGAGACACAACACACACACACACAGACACATAAAAATCATCATTGCATAACATTAAACAAAACGAACTATCATCAAGGAATCGTCTAAATTAGACGACTTTTTAGAAAAATGACTTTATAACGACAGTGCCGACTATGCTGCCCCCAAGTATTGTGCGAGAGAACAAGAGAGAGAGTCCCTGGTGACAGAACATTGCAAATATTACATACTATCATTATGATAATAATAATAATAATAATAATGACAATCCGTTGATTTTTAAATATATCTATGTATATATATATATATATATATATATATATATATATATATATACCTTTTGAGACATGTTTCTGGCTGCTTGGAATATCATATTTTACCACACATAAATAATTCAATAAATAATTAAATCACACTCAAGTCATAGTAATTACTATTAAAAGATAATATTTAAATACAAATACAATAATAAAAAAAAAGAGAAGAAATCATTATAATTTTTACAGTAAACTATTACGGATTAATAAAAAAATATAATTTAAATTCTTGAAAATTTTGATTTTTTTCTTTTTATACAAATTTAAAATCGGAAAATTATATATATATATATATATATATATATATATATTTAAAAACAGTATGAACAGCTGAGTCTCAGAGAACTCAGCAATATCTTGCCCTGTCTTGAAATAGCAGCACTGCGCAGAGTTCAGGGTATATCATAGTCGATCACTCCCACTTGTTTACTTCAATTGTTACAACTTAACACTTCAGTGGAACCTTTGCTATCAGCTATCAGTTATCAGTCTGAAATTTCAACAAGGTAAACCCGGGGGGGCTTTATGGCTTTCACTGAAATTTCGGTTGGCAACGAAAAAGTGAATATCAAATTTCAGTACAACAGCCGTATTGAAGTATCGAATGATATAACTAAATATAGTGATGTGATAAATAATTAGCTCATGTTGTGTTTTCTTGGCATTGTAATCTATTTACTATAGATTATTTTGTTTCTCTTTCTATTATAATGGAGATATCAACGTGGTTCAGCTATCTCTGCCAGAGGCGCGTGCATTGATTTAGGCCTCAATACTTTTGTTTGGTTTTGCCCATTTGAAGTTATCAGTATGAATTTTCAAACGCGCAACAAAGAGCTCATGAGGCTCATGAAACGCCCCGCACATAATATTAATTTTTGTGCAAATTTCAGATTGGCAACCGAAATAAGGCTTAGTGTTTTTAGTTCTAAGTATAGTGACAGTACACTGAAACAAATGGGCTCATCTTAAAATATTAAATTATATATGAAATTAAATTAAATATACATATATATATTATGCAATTATTTTAATTTTAATTTTAATTTATTATAAGAATTATTTTTAATTTTTTTTTTATTATTTATTTAATTTAAAAAATAATTTAAAAATAAAAATATGAAGTCTAATGTCTTATTTATTCAATTCCTTACAATTCGAAATTTGTATTTAAAAAATGATTTAAGTTTTCAATATAATTTTATATATTTGAATTTAATTTTAAAAAAGACAATAAAAATAAATTGCTTAAAATTCTTTATTTTTATTTATTATATAAATAAAATACACTAATATATATTTTCAATCAAGTTTAATACTTAAATTAATTATTTTAATATATATATAAAATATAATATAAGTTATAGATTTTTTATTTACTTAAAGAAATTATTTTCTTATTATAAAAAAAATGTCGCGTTCACTTCGTGGTGTCGCTGCTCTACTTTCTACAGTAGCGTAACTAGTTTAAGCCTTTTTATTTAAACAAAACTTAAGAGCTTTAGGATATAAGTCGAGTTAAGTAAAGAAAACGAAAAATGGCTTGATATCTACAATAAGCTATATATATTTATAAATACATATCAAATTGGTATATAAAGTAGGTTAAGTTGCAGGTAATTTGCAATTGGAGTTCATTTTCATTTGCAGCTATCACGATGAACGATCACAACTTGCTGGTGGCGAAAATTGTGGTTATTGTGGTGCTGCTGGTGGTCACATTAATTTTTTGCTTTCTGCCCTATGTGCTCAACCGTTGGTTCAAATGGACGCAGCGGGCGAAGAGCAATGCACGCGAGTTTCTGGCTGTCCTTTGCCTATTGAATTTCGGTGGCGGTGTCCTTATTGCCACAACATTTATACACATCCTGCCGGCTGTTGTTAGTGTTGTGGCTGCCCTGCAAAAGTGTGAGATGTTGGCTAACACGCCGTTCGCCCTGCCCGAGATGCTGATGTGCACGGGTTTCTTTCTGATGTACGCCATCGAGGAGCTCATGTACTTTATTGTGGGCAGGCGACAGAAGCGTAAACAGAAGGCCATGCAAGAGGCGCTGCAAGTGGCCATGGAACAAGTAGCCGAGCCGGAGGAAAAGGTCGAGCTGGAGTTGGGCGAACAAGTCGAACCGGAGCAGCCGAATTGGCTGCGTGGCCTGGGCATCATTGTGGCCCTCTCGCTGCACGAACTCTTTGGCGGCATGGCCATTGGCCTGGAGGAGACTGTGGATACGGTCTGGTTTATGTGCGCTGCCATTGCAGTCCACAAACTCGTCTTAGCCTTTTGCATTGGCATGGAGATTATGATGGCCCACACACGTTGGCTAATTGCTGTCATTTATCTAATTGTCTTCTCCATCGTCACGCCCATTGGCGTGGGCATTGGCATTGCGATCACAGAGAATACCAGCGCGAATCATCCGAGCATTCCGGCGGGCATCCTACAAGGCATCGCCTGCGGCACCCTGCTCTATGTCGTCTACTTTGAAATTGTGGCCAAGAATCACGCGGGCTGGCGCATATTTCTCTGCTCTCTTGGCGGCTTTCTGCTCATGTTTGGCTTGCAAATTGGAGGTAAGTTTGATTAAAGATGAAAATTGATTTGACTTCTGCTAACAGCTTTCTATATCCTCCTCAACAGTTGTTGAAGCTGCTGGCAAATCTGCATATGTTTGCCCCTCGAATAAGAGCTAAAATAATGGGCTTAAAACTTATACGATTTATTCTAACATTCAAAACTTCAATCAAAGCTTTATGGAAGAGCTTTTACTCTTGCTCAAGTTGCTTGAAAAAAAGCTTTGTTTGAAATGAATCGAAAAGCTGAGCTCAGTGAGCTCCATTCATAAACTCTATCACGATAACATTATTTCTTAATATTTTCTTGACTTAAAATTATATTTTAAATATATTTTAAATATATAATAAAATAAATATTATTTTAAAATTCAAGAAAAATTTGAAGAAAAAATATATTTACAAATTTTTTCATATGGAAAAATTACAAAATAAAATCAAATATTTTTCTTCAAAATGTCGTCACTTTAAATTTTCCTCAGTGTAGTGAATCTCTGTCATTAATCTTGCAAATATAGATCAGTAAATTCTTATCTGAACAAATTAAAGTTTCAATATCGTTTTGAACAATTAAAGTGAAAACGTTGCATAAATTAGCAACAAAGTCAAAGGGGACAAAAAAAAATGGTCTGAGAATACGCCTATTTAATCTATTTCCCAGACGATTATAATTTCTGGTGTCAATCAGTGCTCAAATATATAAGATTTATGGCCAGCAGATAGGGGTATAAGTGGTTGCTTCGATAGCAATTCGTTTGCACTTGTCACTTTCATTCGGTGGTGCGAAGATGTACGAAATACCAATACCGCCGGCGGTGCCATCAACCACAGCAAATTTCATGGAAGTTGAAGTTGAGAGTTCAACTATGGCAACTGTTACGGTGGATAAGCATGCGTTGATTGTGGCCAAAATTGTGGCTATGGTGGTGCTAATTGTGGTGACTGTGGTTTGTGGCAGTTTACCCTACATGCTGGATCGTTGCCTGGAATGGACTAAAAAAGATCCCGAAGAGACGCGCGCTTCGACTGCGGTGCGCTGTCTGCTCTACTTTGGTGGTGGTGTCTTGCTTTGCACCACATTTCTCCACATGTTGCCGGAAGTGATAGAAGTGGTTGAGCTATTGCAGCACTGTGGCATATTGGTGGCGACACCTTTTGCCCTGCCCGAAATGCTGATGTGCACAGGATTCTTTTTGATGTATGCCCTGGATGAAGTGATGCATGTGTTTATGCAGCATCATCAGCACAAGCTGAGCCGAAAGGAATCGCTGGCCAGTGAAGCCTTCGAGCGTGGTCACAGCATTCGGCATAGCATATTGCTGCGTAGCACACGACGCAAACCGGATGAACTGCAGGCGAGTAAAGAGGAGCATCAACATAGCGATCACGAGCTGCCGGCAGCGAATGGACATGGGCACAGTCATGTGCCCGTGGATACCAATGGCTCCTCAATGCGCGGATTGGGCATTATATTGGCCTTGTCGCTGCACGAACTCTTTGAGGGCATGGCCATAGGCTTGGAGGGCACTGTGGCAACAGTTTGGTTCATGTTTGCCGCTGTGGCCGCCCACAAATTGGTGCTGGCTTTCTGTGTGGGCATGGAGCTGCTGGTGGCTAGAACCCGTGCTTCCCTGGCCATCATCTATCTCGTAACATTCTCGATTGTTACGCCGATTGGCATTGGCATTGGCATTGGCATCAGTCAGCAGGCAAATGCGAATCAGCCGAGTGTCCCTTCTGGCATATTACAGGGCATTGCCTCCGGCACGTTGCTCTATGTCGTCTTCTTTGAGATTCTTACACAGAATCATGCTGGTTGGCGTGCTTATTTAGCTGCCCTGGTCGGCTTTGCTTTAATGTTTGGACTGCAAATACTTTGTAAGTGAAATGATAAGTTGGAGATTCCGCTATTGGCTTTTGATTGACATACGCATGCCTTTAGTTATCATTAGTTATCATTAATGATATTTACTGCTAATGCAGGAGAAATTTATTGATTAACTATGCCACTCTATATTATATCTTGCAGCTGACGAAGCGGAAGGGGCTGATAACGACTCATGTTACTAGCGTGAACTCCAGTCAATGAAAAATTATGAATTATATTATATTTATTTAGTTATTATATACATTTTTTATTATATGTGCTAGCATCAAGCCATGTCGATTTATTAAATATTTTATATTATTAAATCAAGTGCCATCAAACACATATATAATCTATTACTAAATCAATAAATAATATATAAAAATCTTAAATTGCGCGCGCTTAACAACTCTATTTTCAGTGTGTGTACACACTGTCTGACAGCTGTTAAATTAACAGAGCCTGAAAAAGCGCTAAACCAGTGATTGCAAGCTAACAGTGGCGCCGCTAGAGAGAAAACTTTTAAAATAAACTGTTATAAATATAATTCGAACTATTTAAAGCGTATAAAATATATAATCCAATAATTTATTTGCATACCTTAATAACAATTTATTAACTTAAGTATTGCACTAGTATTCTATCTTATATTTATTTTTAATGTTATTATATTATTTTTAATGTTCATTTGCATTTACTATAGCAATCAAAGCTCATAAAGCAACAATACGAATGAGCAACCGTTTTAATATCGCATTCTGCTTTGGTAAAATATTCATAAAAAAAAGCCAACAATGTAACTGTTTTTATGGTTCATTCTCTCGCCGCTGCGCTCAGTAGCAACAGCAATCCATTTCGGCCCTTGTGCACAGGTCAGCAATTTGCCTCTGCAACAAAGTTGTGTAGTGTGACGTCACTTTTAAAAGGACTTATATTTAGCTTCATGCTGTGACTTCATACGTATCACAAGACATCGCAATCTTCATATTTTGCCACAGACTACATTAATTCAATAATTTTATATATAATTTATATAATTTTATATATTTGAATTTGATTTAAAACAAGTAAGAAAGCTCTAGTCGGGGTGCCCGACTAGGAGATACCCTGATCCCAGTCCTTTGAGTTTTGTAATATTTTCCGTAGTTTGTATCGAGTATTAAAAAAAAAAAAAGAAAACAAATAAAAATCGACATTGCGAGACCAGGATTCGAACCCGGATTATTTGCGCAACGTGCACAAACTCTACCAACACCGCCACTTCAGAACTAAAAAAAAAATAAAACAATAAAAAGCATTTCATCTCCACTGGTCTCGAACCCGGCCCAAACTGCATGGGAGCGGCGCCTCTACCAATGCAGCCACTGTCCCTCCCAAGTCAGCTGTTGCAAATTTGAACATAAGTAGCAGCTAATATTCAGCACAATTCAATCGCAATTTCAATTCTTGGAACAGAAAAGAATACACGCATTTGAATGTATGTGTGCACATGCATAGGAAAAATGCGTGCGCGTGGCGCTGCTGACATGCGCTTTTGCAAATTGGCCAAACGTTTTGTTCAATAACTTCTGTTTTACTTAATGGATTTTAATGAAATTTTCAGCATATGATCTACATATCCTATTGGCTTGGTTGAAATGCAAACGCCTTCACATAATGGCCCTAGTTCCAACTAAACTTAAATTCTAAGAATTTGGGGGAATTTGGAGCCGGTATCCAAAATCCAACAAAAATCAAAATTGCATAAAATATACATAAGACTACATACAAAATTTGGCTCTAGCTCTTTAGACGTTCGAGATATAATTTATTTACTGCATTTCAATAATGTTTTTATTCGATAACAATTAAATGCGAATGGTTATCGAATATTTGAAACAAACTTGACCTGCGCGTGCTATACACGGACCTACAAAAAAAATTTCTCTAAAAATGTCTCTAGCTCTTATAGATGCTGAGATCCACGCGTTCACACATACGGACAGACGGACAGACGGACGGACAGACAGACGGACAGGGCTCAATCGACTCGGCTTGTCGTCCTGATCAAGAATATATATACTTTATGGGGTCTGCCACGCCTCCTTCTGCCTGTTACATACATTTGCACAAAACCATTATACCCTGATTTGCCATTTTTAATGGGATCAGGGTATAAAAAGACAATAAAAATAAATTGCTTAAAAATATTTATTTGTATTTATATTTATGGTCTGAGAATACGCCTATTTAATCTATTTCCCAGACGATTATAATTTTTGGTGTCAATCAGTGCTCAAATATATAAGATTAACGGCCAGCAGATAGGGGTATAAGTGGTTGCTTCGATAGCAATTCGCACTTTGCACTTTGCGATTCGCAATTTGCGCTCGTCACTTTCATTCTGTGGTGCGAAGATGTACGAAATTCCAATACCTCCGGCGGTGCTATCAACCACAAATTTCATGGAAGTTGAAGTTGAGAGTTCAACTATGGCAACTGTTACGGTGGATAAGCATGCGTTGCTTGTGGCCAAAATTGTGGCTATGGTGTGGTATTGTATTGTGGTGACTGTGGTCTGTGGCAGTTTACCCTACATGCTGGATCGTTGCCTGGAATGGACTAAAAAAGATCCCGAAGAGACGCGCGCTTCGACTGCGGTGCGCTGTCTGCTCTACTTTGGTGGTGGTGTCTTGCTTTGCACCACATTTCTCCACATGTTGCCGGAAGTGATAGAAGTGGTTGAGCTATTGCAGCACTGTGGCATATATCTACAATAAGCTATATATATTTATAAATACATATCAAATTGGTATATAAAATAAGTTAAGTTGCAGGTAATTTGCAATTGGAGTTCATTTCAACGATCACAACTTGCTGGTGGCGAAAATTGTGGTTATTGTGGTGCTGTTGGTGGTCACATTAATTTTTTGCTTTCTGCCCTATGTGCTCAACCGTTGGTTCAAATGGACGCAGCGGGCGAAGAGCAATGCACGCGAGTTTCTGGCTGTCCTTTGCCTATTGAATTTCGGTGGCGGTGTCCTTATTGCCACAACATTTATACACATCCTGCCGGCTGTTGTTAGTGTTGTGGGTGCCCTGCAAAAGTGTGAGATGTTGGCTAACACGCCGTTCGCCCTGCCCGAGATGCTGATGTGCACGGGTTTCTTTCTGATGTACGCCATCGAGGAGCTCATGTACTTTATTGTGGGCAGGCGACAGAAGCGTAAACAGAAGGCCATCCAAGAGGCGCTGCAAGTGGCCATGGAACAAGTAGCCGAACCGGAGGAAAAGGTCGAGCTGGAGTTGGGCGAACAAGTCGAACCGGAGCAGCCGAATTGGCTGCGTGGCCTGGGCATCATTGTGGCCCTCTCGCTGCACGAACTCTTTGGCGGCATGGCCATTGGCCTGGAGGAGACCGTGGATACGGTCTGGTTTATGTGCGCTGCCATTGCAGTCCACAAGCTCGTCTTAGCCTTTTGCATTGGCATGGAGATTATGATGGCCCACACACGTTGGCTAATTGCTGTCATTTATCTAATTGTCTTCTCCATCGTCACGCCCATTGGCGTGGGCATTGGCATTGCGATCACAGAGAATACCAGCGCGAATCATCCGAGCATTCCGGCGGGCATCCTACAAGGCATCGCCTGCGGCACCCTGCTCTATGTCGTCTACTTTGAAATTGTGGCCAAGAATCACGCGGGCTGGCGCATATTTCTCTGCTCTCTTGGCGGCTTTCTGCTCATGTTTGGCTTGCAAATTGGAGGTAAGTTTGATTAAAGATGAAAATTGATTTGACTTCTGCTAACAGCTTTCTATATCCTCCTCAACAGTTGTTGAAGCTGCTGGCAAATCTGCATATGTTTGCCCCTCGAATAAGAGCTAAAATAATGGGCTTAAAACTTATACGATTTATTCTAACATTCAAAACTTCAATCAAAGCTTTATGGAAGAGCTTTTACTCTTGCTTAAGGTGCTTTGTTTGAAATTAATCGAAAAGCTGAGCTCAGTGAGCTCCATTCATAAACTCTATCCCGATTACATTATTTCTTAATATTTTCTTGACTTAAAATTATATTTTAAATATATTTTAAATATATAATAAAATAAATATTATTTTAAAATTCAAGAAAAATTTGAAGAAAAAATATATTTACAAATTTTTTCATATGGAAAAATTACAAAATAAAATCAAATATTTTTCTTCAAAATGTCGTCACTTTAAATTTTCCTCAGTGTAGTGAATCTCTGTCATTAATCTTGCAAATATAGATCAGTAAATTCTTATTTGAACAAATTAAAGTTTCAATATCGTTTTGAACAATTAAAGTGAAAACGTTACATAAATTAGCAACAAAGTCAAAGGGGACAAAAAAAAATGGTCTGAGAATACGCCTATTTAATTTATTTCCCAGACGATTATAATTTCTGGTGTCAATCAGTGCTCAAATATATAAGCAGATAGGGGTATAAGTGGTTGCTTCGATAGTAATTCGTTTGCACTTGTCACTTTCATTCGGTGGTGCGAAGATGTACGAAATACCAATACCGCCGGCGGTGCCATCAACCACAGCAAATTTCATGGAAGTTGAAGTTGAGAGTTCAACTATGGCAACTGTTACGGTGGATAAGCATGCGTTGATTGTGGCCAAAATTGTGGCTATGGTGGTGCTAATTGTGGTGACTGTGGTCTGTGGCAGTTTACCCTACATGCTGGATCGTTGCCTGGAATGGACTAAAAAAGATCCCGAAGAGACGCGCGCTTCGACTGCGGTGCGCTGTCTGCTCTACTTTGGTGGTGGTGTCTTGCTTTGCACCACATTTCTCCAGATGTTGACGGAATTGATAGAAGTGGTTGAGCTATTGCAGCACTGTGGCATATTGGTGGCGACACCTTTTGCCCTTCCCGAAATGCTGATGTGCACAGGATTCTTTTTGATGTATGCCCTGGATGAAGTGATGCATGTGTTTATGCAGCATCATCAGCACAAGCTGAGCCGAAAGGAATCGCTGGCCAGTGAAGCCTTCGAGCGTGGTCACAGCATTCGGCATAGCATATTGCTGCGTAGCACACGACGCAAACCGGATGAACTGCAGGCGAGTAAAGAGGAGCATCAACATAGCGATCACGAGCTGCCGGCAGCGAATGGACATGGACACAGTCATGTGCCCGTGGATACCAATGGCTCCTCAATGCGCGGATTGGGCATTATATTGGCCTTGTCGCTGCACGAACTCTTTGAGGGCATGGCCATAGGCTTGGAGGGCACTGTGGCAACAGTTTGGTTCATGTTTGCCGCTGTGGCCGCCCACAAATTGGTGCTGGCTTTCTGTGTGGGCATGGAGCTGCTGGTGGCTAGAACCCGTGCTTCCCTGGCCATCATCTATCTCGTAACATACTCGATTGTTACGGCTATTGGCATAGGCATTGGCATTGGCATCAGTCAGCAGGCAAATGCGAATCAGCCGAGTGTCCCTTCTGGCATATTACAGGGCATTGCCTCCGGCACGTTGCTCTATGTCGTCTTCTTTGAGATTCTTACACAGAATCATGCTGGTTGGCGTGCTTATTTAGCTGCCCTGGTCGGCTTTGCTTTAATGTTTGGACTGCAAATACTTTGTAAGTGAAATGATAAGTTGGAGATTCCGCTATTGGCTTTTGATTGACATACGCATGCCTTTAGTTATCATTAGTTATCATTAATGATATTTACTGCTAATGCAGGAGAAATTTATTGATTAACTATGCCACTCTATATTATATCTTGCAGCTGACGAAGCGGAAGGGGCTGATAACGACTCATGTTACTAGCGTGAACTCCAGTCAATGAAAAATTATGAATTATATTATATTTATTTAGTTATTATATACATTTTTTATTATATGTGCTAGCATCAAGCCATGTCGATTTATTAAATATTTTATATTATCAAATCAAGTGCCATCAAACACATATATAATCTATTACTAAATCAATAAATAATATATAAAAATCTTAAATTGCGCGCGCTTAACAACTCTATTTTCAGTGTGTGTACACACTGTCTGACAGCTATTAAATTAACAGAGCCTGAAAAAGCGCTAAACCAGTGATTGCAAGCTAACAGTGGCGCCGCTAGAGAGAAAACTTTTAAAATAAACTGTTATAAATATAATTCGAACTATTTAAAGCGTATAAAATATATAATCCAATAATTTATTTGCATACCTTAATTACAATTTATTAACTTAAGTATTGCACTAGTATTCTATCTTATATTTATTTTTAATGTTATTATATTATTTTTAATGTTCATTTGCATTTACTATAGCAATCAAAGCTCATAAAGCAACAATACGAATGAGCAACCGTTTTAATATCGCATTCTGCTTTGGTAAAATATTCATAAAAAAAAGCCAACAATGTAACTGTTTTTATGGTTCATTCTCTCGCCGCTGCGCTCAGTAGCAACAGCAATCCATTTCGGCCCTTGTGCACAGGTCAGCAATTTGCCTCTGCAACAAAGTTGTGTAGTGTGACGTCACTCTTAAAAGGACTTATATTTAGCTTCATGCTGTGACTTCATACGTATCACAAGACATCGCAATCTTCATATTTTGCCACAGACTACATTAATTCAAGTAGGTGAAAAAGAGTACAATAGATTACCTATAGAGCAAAAAGAGACAGCAAGCTGCACTTGCTTTTCCTTACTATTTATTGTCAAGTAATTAATGACTTGTTTCTCATAGAAAATAATTAATATGAATATTTACTTACCATATATGAGGAATATACTTAATTTAGGTCTAATGTGTTTCAAGAAATACGCTTTATTCTAATAAATTGGTGAAATACTCAATAATTTTTACCACTTTGAATTAATAATTATTTTATTCATTTGTTCACATAACTGGGTCTTGCAATAAATTACAAACTGCACCTCATCAATTATGCTTCTTCACTAATATATATTTTTATTCAAAATAAAGTAAATTACCAATCGCGCGACTCTGATGCTGTTCAAAAACCGCGAAAATCAAAAATAAAAACACATTCATACATACATATCCGAGCACAATCAAACGCGAGGGAACGTATAACGACTCAGTTGTGTACGACATAAAAAACGAGCAGAGAAAATAAGCTCGTGAGCGATGTGGCATCTCTATAATCTATTTACTTAAATTACTCAGAGCGTAAAACATTTTACAGTGCGTTGTGAGCAGAACAGCGGGCTAGCAGCTGCATTTGAGTATAACATTGAGTTAACATCGCTGCGCTCAGAACAGTTCATAGTTGTGGAGACGAATGGTCGTGTGTGCGGAGAAAAGTAAATTTGAAAAAAGAAAACTAAAGAAACACTCGTAAAAATTTTGCCCCAATAACTTTCGTGTAGACGTGCTAAGTTATAAATTAAACAAAAACCGACTGGTTTGCTACAGCCCAATTAAAGTCTTCCCAATAAATTTGTGCAAGTGAATTAAACAGCTGTACGTGACTCCCTTTTTCCCTCTCACACATTGTGTGTGACTCTGCGTAAGTGTGCGTGCATGAGTGCCTGTGGGTGCATTTGTTTATTCCAACCGCCAAATACGATTTCTTGCTAGAACTTGCCTCGCGTTGCGTTGCTGGGCGGTGCTGTCATTACCCCACCCACCCCTCATTAGCACATTGTGCAAAAAATAAAGAAAATCGAAACTCCCGCACATAAACTGGATGATGAGTAGCAACGACAAAACGAAAACAAAAACAACGGTACACAAAGGAAACTGAATTAAAGCATAACAAGAAATTGCGGTTAAATACTTGACACGAATATTTATTCAAAATAGACCAAAAACTTTGTAAATATATAAATGTGTGTGTTTTTGTACTTTTACATAACGAAATTCGCGTCGCACAACATTGAAAATAACTGTTTACCAAATAGTTAAGCAATTTGTATACAAAAAATAAATAAAAATAAACGAAAATAAATAAAAAAACACAAAACCCAATTTGAGCTTAAACTTAACTGTAAACATATTATGCACATTGTTTTTACGTCTTGTGCCCACTGTGCCGAGCTGTAAACATATTCAAGAGCAATATACAAAAGTGCTTCACATTTGGCTGGATATTTAAAAACAAAAAAAAATAAAAATAACAGAAATCGTCATTCGAGCTAAAATGTAAACTGTATAAGTTTATAAATTGAACAATAACAAAAAAATGGTTGTAATTTAGATAATATACAATTCACGGACTCGGAAAACGAATTGAACTTGATTTGAAAATAGGTGCGTAAAAGTTGATTTTAAAAACTATTTGTTGTTGTAATTAACACTTAAATAAATACACAGTGCTTCTCGTTTGGAAATAACAAAAAGTAGGACAGAAACTTGTGTTTAATAAAATACTATAAAATAAATACTAAATACTTAGAAAACATTGTTATTTTTTTAGCATTTTTTAAGCCAAATACTTATGAATATTAAAATTTGGCAAAATGTCTCAAAATTCATAATAAAAGAATAAAATATCTGTACACAAAATATCTCAAATGATATCTGTCGTCGTCTCATTGACCTTCTCTAAAGTATACAACACTTCCACATACGTAAATATTCTGTGACTTTTTATACACAATGCTTGTGCTATCTATAAATATTGTTAATATATATATTTCTATATATGTATGGGTACACACATTATAGACATAGCATGATTAATGCTTGTTGACCGACGCATTTGTTATTATTTTGTCATGCTAAAATGTCTTTGAAATCATATGTTCGTTGCTATATTTTGTTTTTATTTTTAGTCATGTACTGTGGAAAATTTTCTATAAAAAAATTGTCTGAAATTTGCGTCATTGCCTCGTGTGCACCAAAAAAATAATGAGATTTTCCTACGACGCAAATTGACAAATAAAAGCCATTTAAATAGAGTTCTTAACATTTCGTCTGGACTTTTGTCTATATGAAATTGCAGTTCGATATTCGTCACTGCTTACAAGCGAAATTTGTTAAATGTTAAATATTGAGGGCATTAAAAGCTGATAAGGCAAAAAGAAAATAAATATATAGATATAAAACGAGTATGTGAAGAACCTGAAATTAAAGATAGGTGAAGACGCTTAAAGGAATCTGTAAGAGAGAGTCCAGATTTGTTTTTTTGCTCGCTGCTTACTTAAATTATTTAATCCTAACAAAATGCAAATTGATTTAATTAGTAGACGAAAAATTAGAACAAATTAATTGATTAAATCGTGAAAATTCGTGCTTCGCTATGAATTTTGGTCGCGACAAAGTGTCTGCCATGAAAATGGGGATTTGCAGGCAAAACACAGCTCTAGGCCAAGTTATTTGCATAAGTCGGTAAAAGGAAACCGGCTGACACACACACACACACAGACTTGGCCAACAAGTCAACACACGCGCCGCCATTTTGTTATGCCGCCTGATGCCCACCATTTGAGTTTTATTGTTTTTGTCTGCTAAACAGAAGAAAAAAAAACCTCCCACTGGGTAGCTTTGACCCAGCTCAGTGTCAAGTGGCAAACATATCTAAATATATATATATATATATAGAGAGAGAGAGATATATATAGTTGTATTGATGGATGAGTGTTGGAATTATGTTGATGTGTACATAAATGTCTGATGGTTGCTTACAGACACTTTGATGGTTTCTATGCCTTAGTTTTTGCTTTTGTCTAGCTACAAATTTGATTTAGTGTAATCGAAAACCATTCTTTGGGCCACAGTTTGTCGTTGTCCTTGGCCAAAAGTCTTTGCATTTTGATGTCGTAATGCACTTAGAAGCAAAAACATTTCGAATCTGGCTTCAAGTAACACCATAGAAACCAGTTTCTATCTTGAGCCAATCAGCAGCATCAGAAAAACAAAGAAATACTACTTTAGCAAATTGATTTTGTTTGATTTGTTTATAATAAATACTAATTTAGAACGCTAAAGATTTTTTGCACTTGACAACATTTTTTCATTTATACATCTATAATTATATTTATTTTAAGTCGAAAAACAAATATTAGTGTGTAAAATTCTACTAATAACAAACCAGCTGCACAGCTGATTATAAAACCGGTAGAGCCTTTGTGTATTTCAAACAGGAAAGAACTACAGAGTTGAGCAAGTCGAAGAGTTAATACTCTTGTAATTGCAAAACAGAATTAAGAAAACATTAAAAAACTAGAATGGAAGAAAAAAATGCTGTCTGAAAAAAAATTAAGAAATATAAAATAATATAAATGAAAAATAAAAAAAGATAGATAAGCAGCAAAAATATAAAAATAAAATAATAAAATTTAAATAAATAAAAAATAAGAGAAATCTTAAATTAAATAAAATTTAAAAAAGAATTAAATAAAATTGTAAAAAAAATTCAAAGGCATAGAAAATCAAAACCTTAATTAGTTTCTATTGGATTTAAGAAGTATTAAAGAATACAAAACCCTTAAAAATTATGAAAAATTGTTTTTATATAATAAATATATTCGTATGTAATACTGTTTCACATACAAAACTTTAATGCGTACCTTCCAAATCTCCCAAAATTTGGGGTTTCCCTTTTCTTAATGGGAATCATATTGAACAACAAAACGAATACAACTTACGATAGAGAGTAATAAATTCCAGCACTCACAATGTGTGTCACTGTGAAGAGATAAACAGCTGATGGCACTGTGAATACAATACACACACACACGCACACATACTGACACACATGCGTACCTGAAAGAAGAAAATATATATATGAAAAATCAATAAAAAACATAAACCAAAAACTGGTTCTCGGCAGCTGTGTGCAATGCATTCAAATGAGC